TAAAAAATTTAATTTATAAAATGTATTTTCTAGCATTTTATATTTGTCACACTATGTGTAAGAATAAGGTTTTTGTTTTACAAACAGAGAAGATGCTAATTTTGTCCTCTTACCTGTGGATAGCATATGCCTTTTATTTTAATTAACTGATCTGAAAGTTATATTGATAAAAAATGCTCCAGTTTAAATATTTTTCGGTGCATTAAAAATACCAATTTTCTCATCAGAACCTACAAAGTACCATGTGAAATGACATGGCACAAATATAACAATGAGAAAACTGTGGGCATCAAACCAATAAAGAAGGGCGGTGATGCATACTTAATTGGAATACACGAGACAAAGGAAACAAGATATTTAGGAAATAAAAGAAGCAGAATGTATCTTTAAATCTTTTCAGCAAGAATCAGCTTTCCAGTCTGGGGAAAATGTCCTCTCCACATGAAGAATCAGCATTATTTCTTCACCATTGATATTTTTCATTTCTGACTTGAAGTTACAAACTAACTCCAGCAGAAATATTTTTGCCTTACTATGGACAATCTGTTACACAGCAAGCTTTGTCAGGCTTGTTTGCTACATTTTTGTATGAAAACATCTTCATAAGGCGAGCCCGGTGGCTCATGGCGGTAATCCCGGTGGCTCATGGTGGTAATCCCAGCACTTTGGGAGGCAGAGGCAAGCAGATCACGAGGTCAGGAGATGGAGACCATCCTGGCCAACATGGTGAAACCCGTCTGTACTAGAAATACAAAAAAATTTAGCCAGCCGTGATGGAATGTGCCTGTAGTTCCAGCTACTCCTGAGGCTGAGGAAGGAGAATCCTTTGAACCTGGGAGGCAGAGGTTGCAGAGCTGAGATCGCACCACTGCACTCCAGCCTGGGCGACAGAGGGAGACTCCATCTCATAAAAAAAACAAAAAACAAATCCTCCTAACTTCTGAAGCCTCCCTAGTACCGACCTGAACTAATTAGCTCAATAAATAAATATATTTACATGTCAATTATAGAAAGTGAAATGAATAACTAAAGTAGGTTTATATAGACTTCTCCAATTAAAGGAACAAAATAGAATGTACTAACTAAATAAGATATAACTTAAAACATGAATTGCGGAATTGCATCTAAAAATTATTTTGTGTGCACAACTAAATTTCATAAAAATCATTCTTATAATCCACCCCGTTCAGCTCACATAATGAAACCTCATAAAGTATAAAAGAAAAAAAAATAAATAAACAGTTACTTGCTCCATAATTTTCTCTTTTTTTTTTTTGGTGCTGTGACTCGGATGCTCCATTTTCTTACACCTAATGTTTATCTTTAATGTTTGTGTATATTTAACTCTATGTAAATAAAAACTAAACTCTGTATGTATTTGGAGGCAGAGCAGCCACATACTCAAATAAAAATATGTAACTTTTTTCATGTTTATTCATGACAGAAATGTATGGATTTTATTTATTCTATATAATTTGTATAATTAAAATAATACTTTAGTTAATAACAGTTGTACATTAAAATAATGAAAAGTCTAAGATTGGCTTGTAATACAAAGGATAAAGGCTGAAGGTAATGGAATTTTATTTATCCTCATGTGACTAACACATATTATATGCCTGTATCAAAATATGTCATATATTGCATAAGCATATACACATACTATGTACCCACAGAAATTAAGAACACTAAGTTTAAATAAGACAAAAAAAATTTATCCTATGGAAACATTTTTTAACTTATTTGCAGATGAAAGCCACTGGTGAAAGAGATTACTAGAAACGTTATAGTCCATCATGTTACCAAACAGTATATTGTTACCATCTTTTACATACACCTTGAGTAAGGTGGAATAGGTTAGTTAGAAGCATAGTGATGCTTCATTAATGCACAAGGATCTTACTACATTAAAAAGTTATGTTTACATGTAATCTAAAAATTTTTAAATGTACTTCATTTAATTACATAAAATTACATTAAATAAAATGATATATACTAATTTAACTAATTTAAACTAAAATATGTTTTCTCACTATAATGCAGAAGAATATTACTCTGAAAACCTACCTCATGCATCACTACTAAGTTTCCCAAAAAAGAGCCTCTCCAATTACCTTTTCATCACGCATGTTACATTTTTTTTTAAGACTGAGTTTCACTTTTGTTGCCCAGGTTGAAGTGCAATGGTATGATTTAGGCTGTGACCTTTGACTTACACATTCAAGTGATTTCCCTGTATTAGTCTCCCAAGTAGCTGGGATTACAGGGAGGTACCACCACACCTGGCCAATTTTTTTATTTTTAGTAGAGACAGGGTTTTGCCATGTTGGTGAGGCTGGTGTCAAACTCCTGACCTCAGGTGATCCACTCATCTCAGCCTCCCAAAGTGTTGGAATTACAAACGTGAGCCACTGTGCCCAGCTGTATCTTACATTTTAATATCCTTACTGTTCCATAAAAAATGTTTTACATAATGCCCACCTAATAATCTCTCATATCTTTGATGCAGCAACAACTGGTCACATGCTTTCACATGTGAATACAGGAGGAATGAAGAAACAGCATAAAGTTGAGTTTTATTTCATCATTACTCACTAATTTAAAAATCTGTACGTTTTTCAAGATGAAACTATACTTTAAATGTAATTATAACTCTGAAAATGTTCTACTTCTTTTAATGTTATATACAAATAATTTATCCACTCATTTTTAGTTTGTATTGTTTTCTATACTCAGCACTGATTTAGTGTAATGTCTGAAGTGTCAGTGCCTTAGGTATCTCTACTGTGAATTCTCTGACATTTATATAAATTTTGGATTAATATTTTTTCATATTTACTGCAGCTACAATATATTTTAGTATGAACCCTCTGGTATTTTTTATGCTGTGGTTTTTGAAACATGTTTTTCCAAACTTATTACACTGGTAGGGTTTCTCTGTAATATAAATTCCCTTATATTGAACAAAGTTTGTAACATAAACCAAGTACTGTATTACAGACTCTTATGTTTTATAAGCTATAAATTTTTAAAACTGTTTTTATAAATTTATTACATTTCCAGGGGTTTCCTCCAATATAAATTTTCTGATGTTGAACAATATTTAAGCAACTGCTTCAGGGTTTTCTGTAGTACAAAATGTGTGTAAGATCTGTGATACAAATAATGGTACTATAGCCCTCATTACATTTGTAATGTTTGTCTTCAGAATACTCCTCTTCACTTTAAAGGGCTATATTTTCTGAAAGAGCTTTTGACACTAATTGCATTTATAATGGTTTTATTAAGTGCAGACTCTAATGTTGAGTAAGATATGAGCAGATATTAACGGTTTTTCCATTCTTCTGTGTGTACACCTTTTCTGAAATAAAAATTATTTCCCATACAATAAGGTATGAGAATTAAAAGTTTTGCCACGTTCTTCATACTTGTAGTTGTTTACTCCAATATATATGACCTTACCTACAATCAAGTGTGACAACCATTTAAAGGCTTTGTCACATTCTTTACATTTCTAGGATTTCACACCAGTATAATTTATATTTTATAAAGTTTGCGGTGTTGTTGAAATCACTGTCACAGCTTCAGGTTTGTTGAGTTTCTCTCCAGCATGAATTCTGTTATGTGTAGTAAGGTTTGAATATTGGTTGAAAGCTTTGCCACATTCTTTACATTTATAGGGTTGCTCTTTAGTATGAATTCTTTTATGTGTATTAAGGTGTGAGGAATAGTTAAATGCTTTGCCACACTGATCACATTTGTAGGGTTGGTCTCCAGTATGAATTTTTTTATGTTCAATAAGGTTTGAGGATCGGTTAAAAGCTTTACCACATTTTTCACATTTGAAGGGTTTCTCTCCAGTATGAATAATCTTATGTGTAGAAAGGGTTGAGGATAGTTTAAAAGCTTTGCCACATTCTTCACATTTGTAGGGTTTCTCTCCAGTATGAATCTTCTTATGTTTAGTAAGGGTTGAGGACCACTTAAAGGCTTTGCCACATTTTTCACATTTGTAGGGTTTCTCTTCAGTGTGAATTATCTTATGTTTACTAAGAGTTGAGAACTGGTTAAAAGCTTTGCCGCATTCTTCACATTTGTAGGGTTTTCCTCCAGTATGAATTTTTTTATGTGTAGTAAGGTTTGAAGATTGGGTAAAAGCTTTGCCACATTCTTCACATTTGTATAATTTCTCTCCAGTATGAATTTTCTTATGTGTAGTAAGGTTTGAGGATTGGGTAAAAGCTTTGCCACATTCTTCACACTTGTAGGGTTTCTCTCCAGTGTGAATTCTCTTATGTTTGGTAAGAATTGAGAAATGGTTAAAAGCTTTGCCACATTCTTCACATTTGTAGGGTTTCTCCCCAGTATGAGTTATCTTATGTTCGGTAAGCTTTGAGGACCACTTAAAAGCTTTGCCACATTCTTCACATTTGTAGGGTTTCTTTTCAATGTGAATTTTCTTATGTTTAGTAAGGTTTGAGGACCGGCTAAAAGCTTTCCCGCATTCTTCACATTTGTAGGGTTTCTCTGCAGTATGAATTCTCTTATGTGTAGTAAGATTTGAGAACTGATTAAAGGCCTTGCCACATTCTTCACATTTGTAGGGTTTCTCTCCAGTATGAATTCTGTTATGTTTAGTCAGGGTTGAGGGCCAGTTAAAGGCTTTGCCACATTC